GGAATTTTAGGTGCTTTCATTGCTTTTTTCATAATCAATCCTGTGTGATTTCAATAAATATTTCATTGACTATGTTAGGTGTATTCATTGCCTCTTTCATAATTAATGCTGTGCGCTTTCATTGAATATTTCATTAGGAATATTGGATGCTTTCATTGGACTTTTCATAATTAATGTTGTGCAATTTCAATAAATATCTCATTCCTTAGGTCAGGTGTATTCATTGCCTCTTTCATAATTAATGCTGTGCACTTTCATTGAATATTTCATTAGGGGTATTGGATGCTTTCATTGGACTTTTCATAATTAATGTTGAGCAATTTAAATAAATATCTCATTCCCTAGGTCAGGTGTATTCATTGCCTCTTTCATAATTAATGCTGTGTGCTTTCATTGAATATTTCATTATGAATATTGGATGCTTTCATTGTACTTTTCATAATTAATGTTGTGCAATTTCAATAAATATCTCATTCCCTAGGTCAGGTGTATTCATTGCCTCTTTCATAATTAATGCTTTGCGCTTTCATTGAATATTTCATTAGAAATATTGGATGCTTTCATTGTACTTTTCATAATTAATGTTGTGCAATTTCAATAAATATCTCATTCCCTAGGTCATATTATGGTCCATCCAATGGGTCATTGGGAGGGTGGTCACATGATCAATTTCCAAAAATGGTAAAAAAACAAAAGTTGTAGCTCTTTACCATAGCTTCCTGAATCAGTTGGAATTATGTCCTAAAGTGCTTCCATTGTGGAGATATGAGGTAAAAGGTTTTCAAAAGCGCTGCATTTTTTTTTGTTTTTTTTTGCATTTTTCTACATGAAAAGAACACTAAACAACATGATTTCAACAGATTTAGAAAGCTAAGAGAAGGGGCTACAACTATTGTATCGTGGGAAATTTCTCCCAAAAAGGAAGGTACATGCCCTAAAAGGGTAATTGACACTGACAGACTACAAAAGATTGCTGATATACTACAAAAGTAAGTTATAGCCTACAAAGTTTACTAATAGACTACAAAAGTTGGACATAGACCACAAAGGTCAGACAAAGACTACAAAAGTTAATAGTGTCCACTTTTTCACTACAAAAGTTACTAGTGTGCGCTTTTTTCATTACAAAAGTTTGTAGTGTCCGCTTTTTGGACAACAAATATTTGTAGTCTTTGCCTTTGTCATTACAAAGATTTTTGTAGTGTCCGCTTTTTTGATTACAATGTTTGTAGTGTCTGCTTGTTAGACTACAAATGTTTGTAGTGTCCGCTTTTTTGATTACAATGTTTGTAGTGTCCGCTTTTTAGACTACAAATGTTTGTAGTCTTTGCCTTTGTCATTATAAAGGTTTGTAGTGTCCGCTTTTTAGACTACAAATGTTTGTAGTGTCCGCTTTTTTGATTACAATGTTTGTAGTGTCCGCTTTTTAGACTACAAATGTTTGTAGTCATTGCCTTTGTCATTATAAATGCTTGTAGTGTGCGCTTTTTAGACTACAAATGTTTGTAGTGTCCGCTTTTTTCATTACAGTGTTGTAGTGTTCGCTTTTTGGACTACAAATGTTTGTAGTCTTTGCCTTTGTCATTATAAAGGTTTGTAGTGTCCGCTTTTTAGACTACAAATGTTTGTAGTGTCCGCTTTTTTGATTACAATGTTTGTAGTGTCTGCTTTTTAGACTACAAATGTTTGTAGTCTTTGCCTTTGTCATTATAAAGGTTTGTAGTGTCCGCTTTTTTGATTACAATGTTTGTAGTGTCCGCTTTTTAGACTACAAATGTTTGTAGTCTTTGCCTTTGTCATCACAAAGGTTTGTAGTGTCTGCTTTTTAGACTACAAATGTTTGTAGTGTCCGCTTTTTTCATTACAATGTTTGTAGTGTCCGCTTTTTGGACTACAAAGGCTTGTAGTGTGCACTTTTTAGACTACAAATGTTTGTACTGTCCGCTTTTTTCATTACAATGTTTGTAGTGACTGCTTTTAAGTGCACACTACAGGCCTTTGTCATGAAAAGGGCAAAGACTACAAACATTTTAATGAAAAAAGCGCACACTAGTAACTTTTGTAGTGAAAAAGCGGACCGTGCAAACCAAACTGATATTATGTAATGACTTTCCCAATTAGGAAATATGCGAACATCGTCATAAACAATGACAACACTAAGCTAGCCACTAACTCCAGTGGCCCAAAGAGCATGGGAAACAGTTCTCAAGTGAAATGTGCACTGTGCCTGACATTAGGTGTGGCAGAAAAAAGTGTAACACTTTTCCTAATTAGGAAATGGCCCAATTGGGAAATAATGCGGACATCATCCTGAACAGTGACAACACCAAGTTAGCCACTAACTCCAGTGGCCGAAAGAGCGTGGGAAATAGTTCCTGACCTAAATGCGCAGTGTGCCTGACATTAGATATGGCAGAAAAAAGTGTAACGCTTTTCCCAATTAGGAAATAGTGCGGACATCGTCATTAACAGTGACACCACTTAGCTAGCCACTAACTCCAGTGGCCCAAAGAGCGTGGGAAACAGTTCCCAACCCAACTGCACACTGTGCCTGACATTAGGTGTGGCAGAAAAAAGTGTAACACTTTTCCCAATTAGGAAATCATCAAAGCGGACACTACAAAATTTTAGCATCACTTTGGTCAAAGCTATTAGTAAATATATGTAAACAAACTTCGAAATGAGGGTTTTCTGACTTCCTCTGCTTGAATAAAAATAGATTATGGTTCCTGATACCATGGTATGGCATGAGGGTGCATGGTATGGTGTGGTATGGTGTATGGTATGGTATGGTATGGTATGGTATGGTATGAGGGTGCATGGTATGGTATGAGGGTGCATGGTATGGTATGGGGGTGCAATACCATGGTATGGTATGAGAGGGTGCATGGTATGGTATGAGGGTGCATGGTATGGTATGAGGGTGCATGGTATGGTATGGGAGTGCCATACCATGGTATGGTATGAGGGTGCATGGTATGGCATGAGGGTGCAATACCATGGTATGGTATGGTATGGTATGAGAGTGCAATACCATGGTATGGTATGAGAATGCAACATGGGATTACAACACCATGGTATGATATTTTGATAATGAAGACTCTTAGGACAACAAGACTTGATTCCATTTCCAATTAACAAGACTTTGGATTGGACAGATTCACTCAGCTTCAATAAATTGGACCAAATATTATGACAAAGAACCAAACACTCAGGACAACAATACCTGATTCCATCATATGTAGTTTTTAAGAAAATTGAGATTATATGGTGTTGTTGGCCATACTATATGTACATGCTATGTAAGTAGGTAGGACTGCCTGATTGGCCCTACTGGGCAAAATATATTTTACCTATTATTGGGAGGATTCATATTAATGGCTTTTTAGAAATGAAAAAACCCTCAATTGAACTGATTTCCAAAGGTTGGAGTTGACTATCTAGCCTCCACTTGGAGTTGGAAATCTTAGAAAAAACCTGAAGAACCTTTCCACTTTTCTTTGCTTCTCAATGACCACTTCATCCCAATAGATGTGGTATTGTTTGATTTGGATGAATATTTGTTGAAATCAAAAGGACTGGGAAAGATATGTATCATTAAATGGCTTTGGATGCATGAGAAAGCTGGGATAAAGCCTATTTAAATTCATTTTCAATAGATGGTTTGGACTATCTAGCCTCAATTTGTAGCTCAATATCTCAAGAAAAACATGGAGAACCACCCCACAAAAAATGGTACCCAATGGACCAGTATTGCAGCCTGCAGAATTTATTTATTTATTTTGGAAAAGGACCCCAGACACCCAGTGACAGCTTTGGTATGATGGTATCATACCATCTGGTATGGTATAACATGACATGGTATGGTATGGTACCTTGGTATTGGTATGAGTGGGATATGGTATGAGTTTTCCATTCCATGGTACCATGGTATTGGTATGGTGCTCACATACCACTCTGGAATGGGTACCATTGAGGTACCCTTAAATCCAAGAATTCATATACCTGAGAGGTACCCTAAAATGGGTGACTGAAGTGTTTGATGTTGGTCAACCTTCCACTCAGATCAGTATCTGCTGTCCTATGTCTGACCACAGTCAATCTTCACATGATTTTTTTGGAGGGATAAATTCTCTGTCCTACCAATGCAACTTGTCATGTCTTTCAATACCAAGACCATTTGTCATTGCCCAAGCCTTCACCACTGGGGTCAGCCTTGAGTAGATTGATTTAAAGGTACCAAAAGTGAATTAAATAGGTGGTTGGTCCTGTCTGTTTTTCAATGTCAATCCAGGATTCATATGAAGCACACCCTTTGATTAGATAGGATAGTGACTTCTCATGTGAAAAGACATGACAGATTGCAAGTATGAAAAACAGCCATGGACCTGACATCAAAAGCAACTATTCATAAGTGGCAGAATGTCAACTCATCCCAATCCTTCAATCATATCCCCAATGACCTATATATACATAGTTAACCACACTACATATATATGTCAGAAAAGTGGACACTACAAACCATTGTAGTCTCAAAAAGTGGACACTATTAACTTTTGAAATGAAAAAAGCGGACACTACAAACCATTGTAGTCTGAAAAAGCAGACACTACTAACTTTTGTAGTCTCAAAAAGCGGACACTATTAACTTTTGTGATGAAAAAAGCGGACACTACAAACCATTGTAGTCCAAAAGTGCAGACACTACTAACTTTTGTAAAAAGCGGACACTATTAACTTTTGTAATGAAAAAACCGGACACTACAAACCATTGTAGTCCAAAAAAGCAGACACTACTAACTTTTGTAGTCTCAAAAAGCGGACACTATTAACTTTTGTAATGAAAAAAGCGGACACTACAAACCATTGTAGTCTGAAAAAGCAGACACTACTAACTTTTGTAGTCTCAAAAAGCGGACACTACAAACCATTGTAGTCCGAAAAAATAGACACTACTAACTTTTGTAGTCTCAAAAAGTGGACACTATTAACTTTTGTAGTCTTTGTCTGACCTTTGTGGTCTATGTCCAACTTTTGTAGTCTATTAGTAAACTTTGTAGGCTATAACTTACTTTTGTAGTATATCAGCAATCTTTTGTAGTCTGTCAGTGTCAATTACCCTTTTAGGGCATGTACCTTCCTTTTTGGGAGAAATTTCCCACGATACAATAGTTGTAGCCCCTTCTCTTAGCTTTCTAAATCTGTTGAAATCATGTCG